CTATTCAAATACGATTTAACATAACTGAGGAGATTTATGTACGTATTAGAAACAAAATAACTATTTTAACTGTTCAAAATTCCTTAAACAGGTATATGCCTTCTAATTAACTATTGAATTTTACTATAGTTAGCTTGTAATTGTAAAATATCTAAAAATAAATTTTTGATTTGTTATAGTAAAATTAATTTTAATAAACAATTGTACATTTGTGTCAAAACAATTGTACATTATTTATTTCAAAAACAAAATATTCTCGGTTGGAAAAGTACTGAGATTTACAAAATTAAATTGAAATAAGAAAAATTTCACAGTATTATTATTCAATTTTAAAAACAATTTCTGAATCGAATAATTTTGACCATATTACCTAATATATAATTAGTTAGTTTGAAAACGTTTAATTTGTATAGGGTATTATTTAAATTTATTCAAATTTTTCAAAGGCTACGTTTCAATTTAATAACAATTTCCATTAAATTTAAATATAACTTGAATAGAATCTGTTTCTTGAAACACAATCTCTACATTAAATATAGAAAATAATAAAATATTTTAAACTAAATATGTGAAAACCTATATACGCATAAATAATAATAATAAATAAATTTCCAAAAATTTAGTTTAAAATAAAATAAGAAAACAATCTTTTAATAATAAAATAACATTCTTTAAAATATTTTATTTAATTGTCTATATGTATTTGTAATAAACTTCTTATATAAATCTTTTATAAATTAATTTTAATTTCAAAAATATTCTAGTACAATAAATAACAGAGAATTTTTCACATAATATACTCATTTCTGGGTGAATGCATGCCTGTGTGTTACTATAAAATAAATTATAAATCAACAAAGTCTCTTTCTCTCTCTATCTCTCTCTCTAATATTCTATTAAATTTCATTATGTTAAGTAAATTTTAAATACTGGTATACTTTACAGTCATTGTATATTTACTGTAATAGAAACACAAAATATTGTGGTAAATTTTATGTATTGTAAAATTTTAAGAGGTCATCATTACATTAGTATACAAAATATAAATTCCTTATTACTTGTATTTTTATATCTACTTTAGATATACATACATATTTGAATCATACACATATGTATGTGTATAATATTCGGTTGCCTTATTTATTTGCTACATAGTTTTCATATAGCCAGTTAAATATACGGTATACTCTATTATAATTATATATTTAATTTTATATGGATTTATTTTATTTCAAAATAGAATGGTTTATGGTTTTTAATAATATTTTACTTTACAAAAAATATAGACTAATAATATTACAGTAATATTGTAAACTAAACATATTTTTCGAAAGATAATATCAAAAATTTCAAATTATTTTTAAAAAGAAAATTGAAAAATACGTTCAAAAAGATTTCAAAAAAAGGAAATTATTGTACAAGGATTTTCGTTTTCTCGCATAAATAATGTGAACATTTGATAGCTTCTATTTTGGAATAGATTGAAGATCTTATAAAGTTAAAAGTATAACATTAAAAGTTTAAATATTTTATTAATTAAAATTTTTTTTTGATTTGACCTATTTTAAAAGTTGTTGTTGTGTACTTACAATGCAAAATATACAAAAAATTAATCCTTTGCATACTTACAATATAACAAGTTTTAATGAGAAGTAGGACAATGGCCTGATATTCCTAAAAAATTTCAATTTTCCAATAAATCGATTTTAAACAATTAAAAAAAAGAAACTAATCTTACCCGAATTAAATAAACTAAAGATTTCAAAGGTTGCATTCTAACTCTAATTTTTTACTGACCGTGGCTCAACAATATTCCAACAAAATTCAGATAGGATTTCAAGCGATTTGGAAACCAGTCTGAAATTGACCCGTGTGAAATATAAGAACTGTTTTTGCATTACTTAACTAAAGTAACTAATCATTGCAGCAATTTAGGCGCTCAGTACAGTAGTGACCTACTTTCAAAAGTGACAAAGTGAAATGTAAAATAAATTTATGTCAAAATAGAGTGAAAAGAGGAGTATTTTGAAAACATATAACAATTCTTTAGGCCACTACAGTTCTATTGAACATAAAAATTTATTTTTGCAAAATTGTTGGATAGATGAATAGAAATATTATAAATAAATATTGATAGAATTAATAAATATTAAGTCCTTTTATTATTTTTGATTGTGGTTTTTTTAGCATTTTCTCAAATTAAGGAAATATGTAAGAAATTTTTCAAAATTAAAATTGTTTAAGGCTCAGTGGGAAACGACATTGGAGAAAAATAGAGGGAGTCTATTAGAGACAGTATTGGTACAATGTAATTTCCAAGTGGAAAATATGCCCCTTGTACTATTGGACAAACTTTATAAATTTACTGGATAAATATATACAAATATCGAAATATTCGAGGGAAATTTGTAATACTAAAAGTAAAATACCTTGAAATGAGTCGGTGTTTTTGTCACGGCAAACACAAAAAAACCAGCTCTCTATAAAATGCTTAACAATCTTTTTATAAAGCAATTGCAAATATTAATGGTTGTAAATCATAAAGCGAGTGAGTAATGGAAGTCAAGATAAGACTTTCGTTCTAAATTCTATGAGTTAATCAATAATTATAAATCATTCAACATTTCATATTTACCATGAATAATAAACTTTTATTTTATAAAAATTATCAAAATATTTCAAATAAGTAACAATTTTAAAAGAGTAAGTAATTTCAATTTATATCAATTATTCAAAATCATTGAAATTTTTAGAATAAAAAACTAAAAAAAAAATATTTTAAGTAAAAAGTTAAATAAAAGGATATTAATTACACAATATCCTTTATAGTTTATTTATGTATAAAAAAAAAAACTATATTTTTAATAATCTAGTTTATTTAAAATGTGATCTAATTAAAAATTAATATGCCCATTTTTTTTTTTGTAAAAAAAATAATTTTGCAATAGAAAATTAAGGACTTTCTAATTTCTCATTCAATTTAATAACTAAAAAAGTTTTCTTTTTGTTAAAAATTATGTCAATATAAAATTATTTGGATAAATAATTTTAAAAAGTATACAAACATTATAAAATTTAAATTAACATGTAAAAAACATTTTGAAAAAAAAATAACTTTAAACAGAGTAATTAAAATACAAAAATGGCTTTATAATTTATTTGTAAAACGAATCACATTTACCTTATAATAATCTAATTTCAAATAATTTGATAACAAGTATTAAACTATCAACAAAGAATGAACTAAATAAATTACTAGATAAATTACAAAAATATTAATAATTCAATAAACTTACAAATTTTTATATTTGTGATAATTCGGAGAGAATTATAATTCGAAACGGTCTAAAAAAACGGCTTCCAGTTTATATTATTACGGTAGGTTCGTCAGATACTAAGTAAACTCAATGACATCAGAAACTGGTTCATGGTTATTTACAATAATCATGCACCAGCCCTATTCTCCTCCTAGGAGCGAACACTCAAAAAAAAATATTACTACATTTGCTAAAGTTTTGCATGCTCCTAGTTATAAAAACTGGTAGAAATCGGGATAGTGCGAAAAAATAGCATTTTCTGTCATGTTTTATTGCACTGAAATATTAACATTAGTTGATATTTTTTTATCTGATGCTGCTAAAAAATACAAGCCGTTTTCGTTACTGAGAGCCATATATCATTGTCGATACAGCATAAAATTTTATTGTTTTCGCACTTATTTATTTCACTCAAGACTATGCAACTTGACTCTGTCAGATATGTATTATTAGTGTTACAGTCAGTGATTTTGCAAATATATAATTAAAATTTTACAGTTCTTATAGTTATTTATTTTATTGATAGCGATGTAATTTGGCTCTGTGTCTATATATTATGTATACTGCTGTTAGAGATTATTGCAAATGCAGCATTAAAATTTAATTGTATTAAGAAATATTTAAATCATAATACCAATCTAAGGTGGCTCTTTTAGCAACCTATTAGGTCTGTTTCAATTGGGGATTTTTGCAAATACAGTATTTAATTTTTACTACTTTTACAATTATTTATCACTATGGAAACAATGTAATATAACTCCATTACTTAAATAAAATGGACTATTCTGAAATGTGTTATAACTAAAAGAAGTGAAACTAGCAATAGCCTTTGGTTCATTATTAAATTTTTATTGATATACAAAATAAACATTTCACATAATCAAATTATTTGGTTGTTTAATATTTTTCATATACTAAGTTTAACATTTTTTTCTTCTTAAACAATAATCCTTATAAATATGAATTACGTATTTAAGTGAGAGTTTTGCTTAATAACGTTTGTGTTTTTAAAACTTTTCGCAAAGCGCTGAGCTTGATAAATCCAAAACTGGCAAAGATGACGTTGATTTGTCTTGCAATAACATAAGTATTTTACCACTATTTTCCAATGCAAAATGTGATATAGTAACACTGTCGCTTTCCACGATTTCAGTTGCGTAAGTATTTTCCGAAATACTTCCTGCTGATGGCGTTGAATACTGAAATATAATATACATTTTAAATTAATTACTGATGAAGAAATTTAATTCAATTAACAAAATATTTGTTTTCACCTGCATATTTTTATATTTTTTAACGAACTTATCCCAAAATATTGCTCTTATTCCTTGTTTTTAATTAAATTTAAGACTCCTTGATATTCCAAGTTCTCAAAAGCTTCTTGGTTTATGAAAAAGAAATAATATTATTAATATAACATATTACGTAATTCACTATATTATTATAAAACATCAATTAAGTTATATAAAAAGAAATAATACTTATATTTTAAAAATTTTTAACATTTTTTAATTGCACAATATTATTGCGCACTATAAACGTGTCCGCTTATGTTTCTGATTCTAAAAAAACTAAAAATCTGATCTAACCTTTATATATTTTTGGATAAAAAAAGAACGGGATTATTAACATTTACTTGTATTTGCAACAATTTAAACAATTGCTGTCACGTTTATCACTGCAATGGAATGTTACGTTTTATTTCGAGAATTTGATAAAAGAACAAAAGGTAATGAACGAATGTATTACCAGCATTTTATTTTAGCCTTTACAGTGATGTTTTTTACAGCATCACAAAAAATATAACTGTCACAGCTATGAGCTCGTATAATTAAAGCTGTAATATTGTTAGTTACACATGTAATGTTGCAATATTAATAAACTAATTTTAGCACAATTTCTTATAGCTAAAGGAGCTATGTTTTTTTGTAAGGATGCAGAAAAACATGGACATAACAGCCAAAATAAAATACTGATATGATAATAATATATACATATATCTTACATATACATATATATGTTCAATTATAATAACTCCATACTCATATTCACCTTAAGATTAATGATATGTTTTTTTTTTTAATTAAAATTTGTAAATTTTACTTACTTACCTTCAAAAATAGGTTTTAATGAGCTATGTAAGTCCCTATTCTTCCAAAATATTTTTTACAAAATTATCCATTTTTACTGCATTTAATTTTTTATTTTAAATTTTTTTTTTACCTTAACTTTCACACTTAACTTGCGTATAGTCCAATCGAAATATTTGAACTACTTCTTACGCATAATACTGCAAATTTAATATAGCATTCTCGTTGTAGATTTTATATATACATATAGAAAAAGACAGCTGTATAATTGGCCAAATCCTCAGCATATATTTTAGCTATTACAGCAATTTTGTATTACTGTATAAACAAACAGTGAGAGTTGTGAGTGAATATGTTCTATTGCAAAAACAGTCATAATATTTAGCTTAATTTTCAATACAACGCAGTAATTTTAGAAATGTTTTGTTTGTCATGTACATATGTAGAATCTCATAGGGGCAGTAAAAAATGTAGTCATAAAATCTAGCTACATTTTACATGTCTTAAATCAGCTATGTATATCACTACAGAATAAATATGTATTCCATATGGAGGCAGAAATATTGTTAATTTTGTTATTTTTTTTAGCAACTTCAGATATAAAATTGTAGTTATGTTTTTTGGCTACGGAAATAGTGATCATTTTTTTCAGTGAAGTAGAATAAAAAAAAAAGAATTATATTATACTTAATATTTTGTTTCCAAACTACATTATTATACACTTAAGGACATCTTTTTATAAAACTACAAAGTCTACACTTTTAAGTTAAATTTTTAACAAATTTAAATTAAAAATATTCGTGTGCCTACTCCGATTACATTTACACAAATTTTGATATAAAAAACTAAAAAAACTTAAAAAAATAAACTTCCGTTTCGAAAAAAATCTTACAAATCGGCTCCTGTCCAAAAGCCGTTAATTTACCAAGTCGCAAAATGGGAATTTTTTTATTAACATTTCTATAATATGCAGGATTTTCTTAAAAATAGCTGAGTATGTCAAAATCGCAAAAAAAAATTTTTAGATTCAACAAACACAACACTGGAATGAAAAACTAACAGTAATTTGTTTTAGTCGAACTAAAGATTTAACGAATTCAACTATTATGTATTTTAAAATTTCTTTGTAACTGTCTTCTCATCCTAAATTTATGCAATAAATAATTGCTTCTATGTTATTTAATATTGGTAAGTGTAGGAATTTAACAAAAATTTTTCTCACTAATAATATTCAATTGAATGAGAATAAAATAATTGAGAAAGTCGATTATTAAAAAAATTAAATTATTAAAGATTTTTGTAATTAATTATGGAAATTTTTCATTCACAAAAACTGTTCATTTTACAATAATATTTTACAATAAGACTTGTAAAATTTAATTGTATATAAAAAAAACTTTTAGAATGGTTAAGCCTGCCAACTCATTACATAAGTATGAATTCTATACTATTTAATAAGAAAATAATATAGAAATATAATTGTAATAAAATGATGTCTGAACTCATTTAAAAACATTCAAAAAGTTTTTTATTCAAATATACCTACATATAATTTCTATTACCTTTTGTTATAGCACAATATGTTGTAGGTGTAATTTGAATCCTACATTAATTTATATGTATAATGTGTAAAGATGTGCCTATATGTAATTATTATAAATAGTTTAGTATCCTTTTCGTAATATTCATATAAATATAATACTTATTAATTCATATTTTGAATAAGACATTAAATGGGAAAACAAAGTAAAATTTCGTATAAGTTTTGCAACTTCTTAATTTCATATTCCATAATCAACTCATTTAATAAGAATCGATTTTTGGTTTTTGGTTTTGTAAAATTAAGTTCTGAATCCAAGCATGTCTATGTACATAATATATCTTTATGTTTTCCGGAACCTAGATAAGTACGTATTTCAGACTTGATGTGACGTGTGGTACATTATTATTTTTCTAATAAAAATCATTTCTAATGATTGGGAGCAAAACGCTTGAAAAACCGTCTACAAAATGATCGACATGCTAATTTTTTTTTTATTAAAAAGCGTAAGTGCTGTTTTGTATATACGTAACCCAGTTAAAAGTCAGTATCGGCACAATATGAAATTTTAAAATTCAAAAAAAAATTAAAAAAAAAATCTTGATCGACTTGAATAGCTTTTTAATATGCAATATTCTTATTTAACTCTGTTTATATCCGTACGAACGTATGTTCGAAGAGTATATTAAATTTACCACTAAGAAATAATGGTCCCAGATATAGACCCAAGATATATGTTTTTGATCAGCGTCGAATTTCGAATGGGTTTGACGACGTCTGTCCGTCTGCTCATCCGTCCAAAAGATAATTTAAAAACTAACTGAGCTAAGTTCACCAAATTTTCACAACCGATTTATTATAGTCAATGCTATAGAACCCCATTTAAATTGAATATAATTGTGGTATTAGTTCAGCTGCGATACAACTTCAAAAATTTTTTTGTCTGTATATCAAAAATTAAAGATGCTTTTGTATTAAAATTTGGGAAAAGCAAACATATTATTAGGGTCATTATGTTTGATTAAAAGTAGTTTGCATAGTTTTAAAAATTTGCACAAGTAAATATGTTATTAAAGCTATCGTGTTTCATAAAAGCCGTTGAAATTTCTGAACTGCTTGTGCTAGCTGCCATACAACGAAATAAGCTTAATTGTTCATAACTAAGAAACTTTACACAAAGCAAAAATTTTGTAAAAATAAATTTGGTGATGTGGGCATCATTTTCAGTAAAACTCTTTTGGATTTTATGGGTTTATATGGTATATAAAACTAGCACATATGTATAAAATAGCTGTACACATATTTTAAAAAGCAAGAGGTTGAATGAAACTGTATGTCAATTATCTCCGACATTTCAAATAATTTTTTCTTGCGGGTGTCACAGAGTTGACACGGTCAACTATTCTATTCTAGTCTTTAATTAAAGCTAAACATATGCAATATAGACTCCGAGCTTTACAATCACTTTTATCGAAAAAAAAAATAAAAATCTCTTTACATAATAACCATTTCTCTTTAAAAATAAAAAATAATACCAAAAGTATAGAAAATTCAACAAAAATATATAAAAAAAAAAATACTCTTAAACATCCTTTTATTCATGATCCCAGGGGTGTATTTTGTAAATATGTTTAGGGTATAAAGTACATTATGTGAAAATTATTTTACTTCTTTTTTCTTATTTTAGTTATAATAATTTTATTAGTTTAATACACACAACAACCCTCTATACCTATGCTTTAATATTTTTTAATATTTTTATTTTTCATTCGAAAAACGAAAACTATTTATAAAACTAGTTGTTTGTTCATGTGTGTTTTGGGTATTTTACAAGAGTATTGATTAAAAATTTTCAAAAAAAAAAAAATTTCATTAGTAAACAAACAAGAAAAATTTGAAAACAAATTAAGGCAAACATTTCTTTAAAAATCCTAAAATAATAATAAAATATACATACATACTTATATAAATTCAACTTGAACAAGAAAATTTATTGTAAGGATAATAGTTTAATGGGTAAAAGAAATCACTAATATATAAACATATTTAATATACATACGTTTGTAGAACATACATTTAGTTAAAAATTTATTGTGTATAATTTGAGTTTTTTTTAGTTTTCGAAGAATGCAAATTTTTTTTTTGTTTTAATTTTAAAATACTCAATAAAAGGAAAAATACATACACACATAAAAAAGGTATAATATCAAAGAAAAACGGAAAAAATTATAATGCTAATAAAAATGTTAGTTAAAAATTTATGAATCTTTGGGGAGGACAAATTTCAATAAAAAATAGGATAACAGACAAAAATTTTTTAAGAATTTAATTTTAAAATAATTCTTAAAAAATAATTCCATTTATACAGGGTTAAGGTGGCAAATAATATGAAAGATGATTCTTTGATCAATTTTCAGAAGCATAATTGTATGAGTGTGAGGGAGGGGGAGCAGATATACACGTTTTTGAGCTGTTACCTGTTGATGGCCCAAATCAAATTAATTGTAACACAGAAAATAAAGAGCAAATAATCGCTTGTGAAACAAGCTCTTGAAGGACAATCTGGTACTTTCTTTTCAACAAGCTGTGGCTCGAAAACGAGTATATCTGCACCCTTATTAATTTTTGCTGAAAATTGATCAAAGAATAATCTCTCAAAATTGCCACTTTATGCGAAACACCCTGTATATATATGTATCAGAGTCAAGACATTTATATTTGAATTTTTGCTCTTATACTTACATATTTTGAAAATTCTGTATAGTAGTCAAATATTGTAAATTATTTACGTTAAAAAATAAATGCAAAATATTTTGGGTTAGAAAATATTAAAAATATTTGATGGGCCTCAAATATGAACAGTTTAAGAATCTATAGTTAATAGGTACTCGTAGTAGATCTACGCATCATATATTTGTGTAATGAAAATTTATAATTTATCTAATCGTTATTGTAATAAAAACGCACTCAAGTGAATCTTAATTCATACATCCATATATAATATATATATATATTCTTGTACTACATACAACATTTAAATTTCTCTTCGACCACATCAAGTTTTTGGGAACATTATGTGTTATATATGTTTTAATTTCGGATAGGTTTAAATTATAGTATAATGAGTACAAATGTATATATATAGCAAGTGTTATATTGGTAGGCATTTATAGCCTTTAATATACATGCATATATAATAGTTATATCGACCTTTTATCTTTATCTGATAAGCATTCATCAACACATTTTCTATGCATATGTTGAAAATTTCTATTTAAAATATGATTATACACAATCTTATCACATACCTACAAATTATTTACATGTATATATGTATATATATACAGCTATTTACATATTCACTTATAATCTAGTATGTTTCCGTCATAAAATATAAAAGGATTACAATTACGTGAATAGAATGTGTAAAAAAAAATCATTTAATTCCAAAAACCAAATTTTATTTCTGTTTTTTTTATTAGACTTAGTGATAGAAAATGTTATATGAACATAGAAATTGAAAAATAGAGAAAGACAATAGTATAGAATTTGGAGTTTTCTATTGAAAGTGAAAACCAGCATAATGTTAGATGAATTTGAATTGATAATCTTAAACTTAAGTGTGGAATATAATTTGAGGTTACAAAAAAAATCAAAGAAATAAACAAAACATTAAATAAAAACCAAAAAAATCCTTTTTCAACGGTTTTCTTCAAAATTTGGTTTTTCTTTTTATTTCATCTATAAAAACCACACATAAAATATAAACGCATTAAATCGTAAACGCAATATTGAAATCAGGTTCACATGTGTGTATAAGTAGTGTATTAATAAATACTAAATACTTACATTGCTATTAGATTAAAAGTCGAAAGATTTAACAGGACTTTGACTTCAAAATTGTGGACATATGCAGTATATTACTCCGGTAATGCAGTATATTACCAATATTCCCAAATTGTATATGACTTAGAATTTAGAATGAAAAAAAATATAAATGCCTAGTGTACGTGATTTCGACTATTTACATACATACACACATGTATATTATTCAAAGAGTTGAAAATATTAGAGCTATTATTATTGCACTAAAAGAGCAATCAGTATTTTTAAATACTATTTTAAGCGTAATATGTGCCTATTGTCTTCGGTTTTCATGCCGTATTGTCTTCGAATGCCGTACTATCTAATTCAGGCATTAGAACTTCTTAGATTGAGAAAATATTTTTTTTTTTCTTATGACCTCTCTTCAACAAACACTCATATACCAACTGATGTGTTTTCTGCTTCTGTTATTTTATTTATACGGCGTTCCGCAATTTGAAGTAATAATCATTGTTGTCTTTATTATTTAGGAGGAATGGTTCTAAAACTGCTTCTATTTAAAAACTACAGTGTAGGGTTTTATGTCAAAATAATAACAATTCAATAACCCTAACAAATAATGAGTTTTAAAATAAAAATTATTTTTCATTTTATAAGTCATTTAAAATATAAAAATTAAATGGGTAGTTCCCGTTCCCATACAATTCTTCAATTTCATTTAAAACGAATTTAATTTTTTTCTCTTAATCAAAACAAATTTGTACATATGCATATGTACATATACACGCATGTTTATATAATAAATGAGATAACCAATGATTTGTGAATAATAAAGAGAATCCATAAACATTTTTGTAAAATATCTACAAATTTTTAAGTCAAATAATACTGTGGTAACGAGTAATAACATATTGAAATTAATTTTTGCGGTTTTTTTAATTTATGTGATTTAACCAATATTTGATTCAAATCTAGTTGGTGTTCGGTAATATTACTTCAAGTCAATAAAATTTTGTAGTTTTCTCTTATATTTAATCCCTACTAATTCTCTTATATTTAATCCCTAATTGTTTTACCTACTTAATTTAATTGTAATGACATGGTATGGAGTTTGTAACCACTTAAAGAAGTCGTCTCCGGTATAGACATTCTTGCTCAGCGTAAAGTTCTGCGTTGATTTAGCCATGTTCGTCCGTCCGTTCGATTGCACGATAAGTCAAAAAAGAATAATGAAATCAACACCAAAGTTGTTTCTTTTCTGACAAGGACGGCTCCTATTGTAATTGCATCAATTCGGACAACGGGTTTGGGTACCTGCCACACAACTTTAAAAGCAAATTTTAATTATTTGAGAAAATAACAAACTTAGGTTTATGAGACTTGGCAGTAGTTTCTATAGAATGATTTGACAAGTTTGAATGCTTGGTATACAACAATAAAAGTTAGCTATTTCAAAAACAAATTTTAAACTCAGATTGGCAAGGTGCAGGGTATAATTAGGTCGGTTTATACCGACTAAAATATTTTTACTTGTTTGAATTTATAATGTTTTTCGTTAAGCCACAGAATTACTACACGTAAATATCGCAGTCATATGTAAATATTTTGATAGTTGATATTTTTGGAGCTTTTGGAGAATAAAAGCTTTAATTTTTTTTTAAATTATTTTCTACTGATAATTTTTAGTATTTTCTATAAATTCAAGCATAAAGGCCTTATTATTCAGTTGTTTCCAGATCAGTTATACCATACACTTTGAAAAATATTTTGTAACTAAAATTTTGAAAATTTTTAAAAATTTTTTGAAACAAATTTCTTATGGCATATCGTGAAACAAACCGGTGCGAAAAATTTAAATTTTGCTAAGAAAAACCATTTAAATCATAATTTAAAAAAACCATTAATCACCAGTCAAATCCATTCAATAAAAATATTTCAAAATATCAAAAATGGATGGTATGCAATTAAATTATTAAAATTTGTCTAAAAAAGAAATTAAATATCATAGATTAAATTACATAAACATTTATATTCTATCTTTTAGATTCTACTCCAAGATTAGTAATTATAGAACAGCCTACTCCAACAACATATTTTCGAAATGAATCTGAAATCACAAATCATAAACATGGTTGGATTAAAAGTGCAAGAGACAACACAAAAGGCCCAACCGTAAAGCTTGTAGGATGTAACTCGAACGATGATGTTCTTATAACATGTAAACCATATTGCAGGAATGTTAATAATGAATTTGTAATTCATCCATATCGATTGGTGAAACATAATAGAACATCTTTAACTGATGTTGGAGCTATGGATCCCTACGAATGTGTTGTAACACATGAGAACGGTTATGAAGCGTAAGTTGGAAAATGTAAAATTTTTTTTTGGCCTAGCAATTTCATTAACAACCAAATTTATTTTAATCATTATATTTAAGTGAAATTCGAGCTTCAATAATGATCCCGTGCAAAGAATCATGTTACTTACGAAACGGATTTGGAATCACCAAAAAATTTCGCAGAAATCATGATTGCAATGTCGTTTTTTTATGTTTCAACGCATATAAATTTATAAATATGCAAAAAATGGACCAAATTGGTGAAAGTGTATATTCGGATGCTATTTATAATCAGAGTAAAAATTCACCTTGAAAATTATATTTTGTAATATGTTATTTAGAAGTTTCACTTCCTTTATGGAATCTCTAACATTTTGATCTTTAGTTGTTATCACATTGAATATGAAAAGTAAATTTTCTAGTCTATTTTTATTCTCGTTTATTTCGATAGCAGTCTTCACTGCATTTGAAATTGCATACCATTCAAAAAAAATGGAGAAATTTATATTTTTAAAATTTTAATAACAAAGTTACCTTTTATATCCAATTAAATATTTAATTATAATAATTGCAAAAGATCTTTGTAGCTTACCTGAAAATAAAAAAAGAAAAAGATTGTTATGAAAAAATATTAAATATTAAAAATTTTGTGGAAAATCTTTATAATTTTAAGAGTTCAAATTAGTGAAAATATTAAAATATCAGCATTACACACAACTTAATAATCAATAACTTTCATAGTTATACCTAGTATATCAAATAACTTTTATTTTTAGGACATCCAAACTAAAGAAGACGAAAAATTGTCAACATGAAACTAAAAAGTCGCAAAGAAAGAGAACCAACGTATAAATTAGTTCGTGAAATAGACAGAGGCAGCGGTTTTTTCCAATATCAAAAATACTGTAATCTTTTTTTAAATTTAAATTTTGGAAAATATTCGCAATTGATTGTATAAATAAAATTATTTAATTAGTTATTGAACGAAATTCTTATTCAAAACAAGAAAATCGGGACTCAATTGCACAAATCACCTTTTAGTTTTTTGTTAATTCATTAATATTTTGTCCCTTGGCTCAAACAAAACTTTTCAATATTTCGATTAATTGATTAAGTAAAAGTAGTGTGTGCAATAGGGCCCGGCACCTATAAAATTTAAGAAACTGTAAGAGTAATTGTTCATTTCATTTAAAAATATAAAAATTATTCTATTTTGGCCTCGAATTTGTTAATTAATAATAATATTAAGCAGCATTTTACTCTCACTATTCTTACACTCAAACAAAATTAAAAATAAACTATAAAAATAAAACCGGTTTTCCTTTTCTTTTACGATGTAATTTTCAATTACTTTATCAAAATATAAAAGTGGATGGAATCAAAGTTTAAAAAGTCAATTTAAACGAATATTAGCAGCGTTTCTAACTTCAATTACTATTACCTATATATAAAAACATTAAAAAACATAAATACATATATAGAAAACATGGAGAAACAAACGTTTAAAGAGAAATTGAAATGACAAGTATCAACATGACGGCACTTAAAAATTTATTTTAAAATATTTTGTAAAGTACAAAACAAAAAAATTTAAAAGAATATTTAAAGTAAGTAAAAAATAGAAAAAACGAAAAATGAAAAAATAACAATTACTTTAATTCAAATTCACACAAGGATAATAATATAAAGGATAATATAAAATTGAATATTGTTAAAGGAGTACAAGTATTAGAATAATAAAATGTAAAGACGTATTAGCATTATCCTTACACAAAATGCTAGATACGACGAGTATAAAAAGAAAACTATAATGTGAAGAATGAAATTAAGCAAAACGGAGAAATATATAAAGGATATTAAAGTTGGGAGAGATAATTTTTTTTTTCTTCAAGATAAAAACAAATCTTGGGAAGGGAAAAAAGTAAAAAGGAAATAAATTGAGTCATTGACAGGATTGAAAATGTCAGATAGACATCAGACAGTTGAAATTATTTCAAACACACAAACACAGATACATATATAAGTATATAAATCATTTAAAAATGAAATTTGACTGTGTTGTATAATTTTGTTGTATGCTTGTGTTTATGAGTGTGTGCATTATTAGAAAAATTTATTGGAAAAATTAAATTTTTCTTTTTTTTTTTGAAAAAATTAAAATCCCGAAAATTATTCAATCGTAAAACAACTATAAATCTTGATTACAATAACTCATTTCAAAATGCACAAATGAACTATAAATTTCCTATATAACATTCTTTATTTCTCTTTAACTAATAATAAGTTCTATATGCGTATATATCGAAATCTACATTGAATTTAAAGAGTTGTTTGATCAATGGAATCAATATTAAAATATATTGTTGTGGCAAACACATCTTATAAAAGGTGTTTCCGAGACTCAATGGTATTCCTGAAGTAGGATAATAAACGAATACAACTCGTTTTCGAGTTATGAGGCTTCACAATTGGACTTATTGAAAGTCGTTAAATTTTTATTGATTTACTGATAAAATTCAGGAAATATAACAGGCAAAGCCAACTTAGTATACTCATTTAAAAAAAAACATTAAAAATTTTAATTTTATAATTAGTAATATCTTTGACATTAAAAACGTCTTGGTACACCAATGTTACACTTGTGCAAGAAGAATTCCATGAGTTTTAATTTATAAAATGAATAAAGTTAATTATAAAATTGCAATGATATAAAATTACAAAAAAAAAAACAAAATTAAACTATAAAAGATTAGAATGCGAATTTTTTCTTTTTACTTAATTAAGAAGAAAAATAGATTTGTAATCTGATTTCTAAATTGATTGAAGAGTGAAGAATTTTACTTAAGTTTTTCGCTAACAAATAATTATACTGTTAAGTTTCATCAAAAATGGAAAATGAGAAATTCCCGTTCTCATTCAATTTTTAATTTTATATGAATAAAATTTGTGTTTACTTTATTAATCATTCTGATTCATAACTAAGTCGGATCGGACACCAATTAAAACAGAGAGAGAGAGAGAAAGAGAGCCAATTTAACGACCTTAGGAATAACAGTAATAAAAGTTTTATTATTTTTATTTAAGAATCACAATTACAAATACTTACAAAAACAAATGATTTGAGATTTTGTTAAAGTTTTAGAGAGAAATTTTTGTATGAGCTTTAAATTGAATTAAATTAATAATCAAGCTTTTGGAAAGTATAAATCTTCTCCGGAAAAATTTGTAAAATTTAATTTTTTTCTTAAATTTTCAATATTTTTTGAAATTTTTAGTTATAAGATTTAGAAAATAAAAATTTTTTAATTTGAATATTGAACTTAAGAATTTTTTTTTGGGTAAAAATTGAGTTGAATTTAATTTTATTATAAACAACATTTTATTTAATATGTAGAACACTGGAGAAAATTTTAAGTATACGCAGTTTCAATAAGCTATTGCAAAAAAGTTATTTGTAATGAATCAGGAACCTATATGAGGGTCTCAGAAGCAGAGTGGCGTAAGCCACAAATAAAAAAAAAAATTTTTTTTGCTGCAATCGGTTATGTACATTTTCTAAAATCAGTGATATTATAGTTTCCAGTTTCGAAATAGTTTTTTTCCTATTTTTTTTTCACAAAAGTAATTTTGCTTTTGTAAAAATTTTCTGATTTTTCAAAAACAAAGTGACATAACCCACATTGTGACTTACGCCACTCTGCTTCTGAGCCCCTCAATTATATATACATACACATTGAAATTGATTATTGTAACAATTGCCAGTAAACAATTTCAAAATTTCACATCTCATTTAATATAGAAATTCTACAAAATAATTTAAAACTGCACTACGTCCTAAACATTTATGCCGTATTTAAATTTATAAAGAAATATTTGTATTTTAATTTGAAGGCTCTTCTCTTTACAAAAAGTATGTAGACAAGATACTTCTACGTTTCTAATAAATTAAAAGAGAAAGGAATTAAAGAAAAATACCAAAAATATATAAGTATTGTAACATTCGTACATACACATATACATGCTTTAAATCAGAAGATTCTCATTTCTTTTCAAGGACATTCTTATAATAACATATGATATTAATGTAAATTTCAAATTTATTTTGAAGGTAAGCAGAGAAACGTTTTATAAAGCCGCAGGTATTTTAATATCTGAGAAATAAAAATGATTTTTTTTTTGGTTTTCTTTTTTGTTGAGAATTTCTTTCAGCAATAAAATAAAATTTTTATTATTATTTTATCTTTAATATACTGCATACATATGTGTGTTTGTTAATTGTAATGTTTATTATAATATTATGGTATATAAGTTTGTTGCGGTTTTTACTCATTGAATGAGTTCATGAAATAAAATAAATATTCAAAATAAGCCACGTTTTCTACGTTCTTTTAATGATGTACAGTGTTTATTCACCGTTTTCTCAAATAATTGAAATGGAGTTTTAATTAATATTATTTTTTGAAATTCTTAAAATTTAATAAGTATATTATATAGATATTAAATAGCATATAAAGTTAAATTCATTAAAGTTCGACAAATTCAAAGACAATTTCATATAAAATTAAAACATAAACGTTTCTCTGCTTACATTTTTGTAATGTAGCTATGAACACCAAACTGTCGCCTAGACACTAAATTCTTAATTACTATAGTGATAAGAAATTGCTCAATAAACTCTCTAAATTCGATTAAATTAAATTATTTCAGTCGGAAATTTTATATCTATTTTAAGGCTAAATTAAAATAGATACCAAACAAATATAGGGCGACATACAAGATTAATAAATAAAATTATAAAGATGAGATCTTACGCATATTTTAATATTGAATTGCGACCATATTAAATTAAAAAATGTTCACTTGTTAATATAATTTTCTAGAATTTTATATAATTTCAGTCACTAATTTTAAAATTTATTTTAAAATTTCAAATGACACGATTCTCAATTTCCAAAACAATTGATTGCGAAAATAAATTTATTAAGAACGAAGCGGTATCAACGCGTAGAAACCACGAAGCAGTAGACGCATTACCATATTTAATATATACGATAAAAATATACGATAACGAATTTAAAGTATAAAATTAAATTAGAATATTTTACATGGTGTATACTTTTAATAAACTAAATATGCTGTGCAAAAGACTTAAAATTTAAATAGCATTTTATGAAAAACTAGAACACAAAAACTAGAAATTTGAATTCCAGATTTGTTCAACAGTATATATTTTATGCACTTAAATTATTAGAATGTGCCATTTAAATTAGTAGCGAAAGCAAAAAAAAACACTGCTCTTTTTTCGTTCCTTTTAATAGCAAAGCAAGTATTTAAAACCATTTTTATGAAATTGTTTTTTTTTTCACCCATTTAACAGCAGAAAAGAGGGAGGGGGAAAAAAAAACAATATTTTGACATACTCTTTTTGCAATCCACTCTTAAAACATTATTCTTTTTTACTTTTTCTCTCCAGAGTTCTATTTTTAGGATATTGTACTTAAAATCTCTTGCTACTTTTTTTTTTTATAATTTCTTATGATGTCTAACAAATCAATACGCTCTTAACTTAACTTTGCAATTTTTGTTCACCACGTTTAAGAATACAAAATGAAAAAATAAAAAAAAAAATTGCGAACATGGAAAAACCTTTAATGTAAACTGCTTTTTTTTTGCTTTCTTCTTAATTTTCAGGTTATTTCATTTTTTTCTTACTTAACATTTTTTTTTCTTTTTCCCATAGAAATTTTCAACAAAAAGGACAAAATTTTGCCATAAGCAATTTTTAAATATACTTAAGAACAGTGGCAACAGTAGCAGTGCATTAACAATAGAACGTCAGCACTCTTATAAATAAGAAAAGAAAGAAATTGTGAATAAAAATTGCGAAAAAAAATGTAAAAATGTTAAATAGAAGAAAATCCCGTTAAAAGATGACAAACACTTGCATTTCACTTGTGTAAAATTAAAAAAAAAAAAAAAACAAAAAGTGTAAGGGCGTAAAGGAAAAAAAAGAAAAACTATTGTGAAAAATATGTCAAGTGTTGTTTTCTTCGCTCTCCTCTCTCTTCTCTCTTTTACAAATAGAAAAAGATTAAAAATTCTTAATTTTTTTTTCTCAGTGTTTTGTATACCTTTTAAATTCTTTTACTTACATTTTCTTTTTAATTTCTGAAGGATTATTATGAAATTTAGTTAAAATATAATGCTTATTTATACGCTGCTATGCGTCTCAAGTATAAATTATAGTTTGACAGAACGCTATTAAAGTTGCTGATTTGGAACGTTGCCATACTGAAAC